CTACACAAGAAAACATGTCTGTGAGCCGGACCTGCTGTCTTTCTAACCAAAAGTCATTAAAACCATCTAATCTGCTCTAGTTCAGATGCAGAGGTGTGACCAAGTCACCGCTTTGCAAGTCACAAGTCTTTCCAGTCTAGTCCAAGTCAAACAAGTCCAAGTTCTTAACTTTGAATTTTCAAGTCATAATCGAGTCATTTGTCAAACTTCAATTTAATGACAATGATAATAATTAAATTCCAGAAATAAGCTTCTTAACCCTCCCAACGTCTTCATGGGTGACCCCGCCAGGAAAGATGACCACTGAGCAGGGTTGATGGTTTATCCCTTGGGTCCACGTGGCAGGGGTGAGGATGAGGAGTGAGCACCACCTCACCCCGCCACGTGGACCTCAAGGGATAAACCATCCATCCTGCATTCTTGAGACAGTTCTCCACACCTTCATCTCCTCACGCTTAGACTACTGTAACTCTCTTTTCACGTGTCTGAGCAGAACCTCCCTGAACCGTCTACAGGTGGTTCAGAACGCCTGTGCTCGGCTTCTGACCAAGTCCTCCAAACACACCCACATCACCCCGCTTCTCCTCCAGCTTCACTGGCTGCCAGTCAACTTCAGGGTTCATTCAAGATCCTGGTTCTGGTCTATAGGGCCTTACATGGACAAGCACCATCTTACATTGGTGATCTTCTTAGTCCCTACACCCCCAGCAGGTCCCTGAGGTCCAGTGATCAAAGCCTACTGGTTGTGCAGCACCAGGCTAAAGGTCAAAGGTGACAGATCATCTGCTGCTGTGGCCCCCAGACTCTGGACCTCTCTCCCCCTGAGCCTGAGATCAGTGGACTCAGTGGTCTCCTTTAAAAAGCAGCTGAAGACTCACTTGTTCAAGCTGGCTTTTGTATGACCTTCTTCACCTCTCTCTCTTTATTCTGCTCTCCCCACCTATTCCACCTTCCTCAGGATCCACTGGTTTCCCTCTTTCCTGTTCACTCTCTCTCTTTCTTAACATTTTTTAATCACAATTGTCTATTTTTGCTCATTTTAAATATATTTCAACCATTTTCTAAATTCTTTTTTATATTTTTACATTTTTTGTTTTTGTGAAGCGCCTCGTGATTTTTATCTTGAGAGGCGCTATAGAAATGATACTTTCTTCTTCTTCTTCTTCTTCTTCTCAATGGTCAACTTTACTCACGGGGTCACCCATGAAGATGATGGGAGGGTTAAAGCTTCATTTATTTGCTCAAACAAGCAGAAACGGAAACTGCATTTAGCAGTAAATCAAACCCCGAACGAAGAATCATTCATGATTTTTGTCCATGCCGTGCCACTTTTGTGCTAAAATATCAAAGATGCTCAAGTCATCATCAAGTCAACAGATGCAAGTCCGAGTCAAGTCGTAAGTCTTTATAGATTTTATAAAGTCAAGACAGAAGTCATTAAAATGACTGAGGAAATAAAGAAAGAAAAAGGCAAACAGAGTTTTCATCTCAGGCTGCAACCATAAAGACCTCATTCACCCGTTATAGAGCTCCGGACCCCACATGACTCTCAGTTAGTAGACGCCATATTGGCAGGTAAAAGAAGCTAAACAAACACGGATCATAACCATGAACGTGAACGGGATCGGCTTGGATTTTACTTCGTTGGAGTTTACTTCACACTTTAAAACCGAAGAAATCGTTTCATATAGTCAGAAATTAAATAGACTAAACATCTCCGACCCTTACCGTGACCCTGGGATACTTTTTAAAAACGCCAGAAGCTGTCGGAGCGGACTTCTTACCGGACCTGGCCGGGGAACCCCTTGGGATTCCCCCGGAGGAGCTGGCTCAGGTGCTTAGGGAGAGGGGAGTCTGGGCCTCTCGACGCTACTGCCCCCGCAACCCGACTCCAGATACGCGGATGAAAATGGATGGATGGATGGACAAATAACAGATTTACACGTAACTAGTTTAAATAGAGTGCTGTGCTGTTTGAATGTATAAACTGAACACCAAGATAAATCACTAGTCTGATTTTTTTCCGTGAATAAAATAAATATGTCAGGCAGGAGCGTCTCAGGATCTGTCTGAGATCTGTCTCGGTGAGACAGATGATAGCAATCCAAAGTGCTTTTTATGTGTGATCTGACAATTGATCAACCATTGCTTAAAAATTAAATACAGCTTAGCCGGTTAATTGTTGTGATCATAAAACACGTAAACGGCAGCACGCAGAACTCACGAGGCAACGTTTTACGTGACGTTTACTTGTTGCTATGAGTAATAAGACAGAAAAAGCCACGCCAAAATAAGTTTAGGAAGCCCACTAAGAATCGTAATAAAAGCATTTAAAATAAATACCATACACAGTTGAGGAAACGTTGGTTTAAGTACCTGATATGAAGCGGTCGCTGCATAAGCGAAAACCTTTACTCAGCTTCATTTTAGCCCGGTCACTAGTGCATTTTACTGCAATGATCCAACGTTTGCGGCGCTCTGGATCTTGGGGAGTCCTGTAGTCTTCCCTTGACTTGTCCCCGTCTGTTCTGCATCCTGGGGCACAACAGGAATCTACCATATTTCCTGTCTGATTGAGTTTTCTGACAATAACAAATAGTCCAGCTGCCGGCTTCTACCTGCCAAGATGGCGCCGTTTCGATTTGAACTGTTGCATGCCGGGAGAAGTGACGTCAACTCCCGGAGCTCTATGGGAATATGTCGGCTGTGCTCTTTGGATGAACGTCTGGTGAGTCACTTTCAGTGAAAACAAAACTCTGATGTTTCTGTTTCAGGAAGTAGAAGCTGGTCAGAGAAGTGTGTGTGTGTGTGTGTTCTTGTACATACTACATACTGAGGACCACTTTGACCATTTTCCCGACAAAATAAGGACATTTTTCAAAGTGAGGACATTTTGTTGGTCCTCACTTTTTTTAGAAGCTTACTATACCAGTTAGAGGTACAGTGTGAATTAAGTTTTAGTCAAGGTTAAGGTTGGGAATAGATGAGTGATGGGTATGGTTGGGGTATGGGTTAGGCATGGTGAAATCACAAAAATCAATGGAAGCCAAAGGAGGGTCCTCACTATGATAGAAAGACAGACATGTGTGTGTGTGTGTGTGTGTGTGAGAATGTTCCAACAACTCACGCTTCAATTCCATTCCCAATCTTGGGGCGAAGATTTGATTCAGAATGAATTGCTGACTCATGATTCGTGATCGATACTCTCAGTAACGAGTGCCAACCCCAGAATTAACTTCTTTCTTCTGTAAGTTAGAAACCTGCCAGGTGTCTGTGCGGCGGTGAGCCCTGAACGTGAAGGACTTGGTTGCTCTGGAAGTCCACGCATCATTGGCTAGAACAGTGGATCCCGACCTTTTCCCATGAGGACCCCCAACCCCAACTCCTGCTCACATCCAAACGTGACTATAACGCTCTTTATACTGAGTTTGAACTCTTAGACAGATGTATGAATATACTACTGGACGTGTTACTGATATTTTAAAATGTCATTTTTACAAATATTATCTTGGAAACCTCACAAACTCAGCACAGACTAAATTGTGGGGACCCCTCTGGGGGTCACGGACCGCAGGTCTGGAACCAGCGATGCAGCACGGAAGTCATTGGCTGACGTACGGTACGAGGAGCGAATAAACAAGGACATGTTTGGAAAATGCCTTCTCATCAAACCAAACTTGGAAGTTTTGGATCGATTCAGAATCTTTATAACTAAGAACGTCGACTCGGACGTGAATGGACTTTTTCAGCACCTCTAGTACTCATTAATCTCCATGATAATTGGACATCTCGCGTCTGATTGGATCACAGCAATGCGACTCTTCCACGGCCTCCATTTGCTCGGCAACGTTGATGTTTTATCTCCACAAATAACACAAGCCTGGATGAGTTCTGCCACGCTGGGAATTTACAAATGCTAACGATTAGCTTCTACCAGCTGAGATGAGCTCTGCTCTCTCCTGGAAGCTAAGCCAACAACAGCCTTCTCTGTCGCGTGGCCGCAGATCCAAGCGTTTCTCTGTTCTAGAGCCGTCTGCCCTCGTCTGACCCGAGCATTTCCTCGTCTATTGTCTTTCTGCGGCTAACGTCGGCGATAGGGGTCGAAGAAATTGTTCTTGTTCAGCCTAGGTGAGAAACTGAGGGTGACCGTTTCATTTCAGCATTGCACGTTTCTCAGTGAACCTCACCTTGAGAGCAGCAAACACAACTTTCCTCAGCTGTTTATTAATAGTTCTCAGCTTCATCAGCATCCTCCCTCCAAGCAAAGCTGCACAGGACTGTAAGATTAACGGCCTTTTACGACCGATTTTTACCGTAAGGGACATTTTCATGTAATCTCTGATAATCTGAGGCATCACAAATCTTCCCTCCACACATGCTGCTGCTGAAATCCAAGTGTGTACGTTTCAACACAAACCTGGCAGGGGCCTGCGATTGTGATATCAGGACTGATATCTATGGGGAGAAAAAAGTCTCAAAAGGTCTGTGTGTGTGTGTGTGTGTGTGTGTGTGTGTGTGTGTGTGTGTGTGTCTAGATGTGTGTGTATGTGTATCTAGATGTGTGTGTGTATCTAGATGTGTGTGTGTGTGTATCTAGTGTGTATCTAGATGTGTGTGTTTGTATCTAGATGTGTGTGTATGTGTATCTAGATGTGTGTGTGTATCTATATGTGTGTGTGTGTGTGTATCTAGATTTGTACATGTGTATCTAGATGTGTGTGTGTGTGTGTGTGTGTGAGTGTCTAGATGTGTGTGTGTATCTAGATTTGTACATGTGTATCTAGATGTGTGTGTGTATCTATATGTGTGTGTGTGTGTGTATCTAGATTTGTACATGTGTATCTAGATGTGTGTGTGTGTATCTAGATGTGTGTGTGTATCTAGATGTGTGTGTGTTTATCTAGATTTGTACATGTGTATCTAGATGTGTGTGTGTTTATCTAGATTTGTACATGTGTATCTAGATGTGTGTGTGTGTGTGTATCTAGATGTGTGTGTGT